GGCTCCACAGTCAACACTCTTGGCACCAGCAGCCAGGAAATTAAAAGGCACATTGCCATGGGAAAGTCTGCTGTTAGGGACCTCTCCAAAGTACTGAAGAACAATGGTGTCTCTCTGGAGAATAAGGTGCGTCTGATACAGGCCATGGTCTTTGCAATCACTTGTTATGTATCAGAGTTGGACAATGACCAAGGAAGATAGGAGAAGTAATGCCTTTGAGCTGTGGTGCTGGAGAAGAGTATTGAGGGTACCATGGACTGCTAGGAAAAGAAACATTAATCCTGAAAAGGGTTAACCTTGCAGGTTCCTTGGAGGCAAGGATTTGGAGGCTCTGTCTAACATACTTTGGACATGTTGTAAGGAGAGACCAGACCTTGGAGAGGGACATCCTGCTTGGGAGGGTGGAGGGACAGCGCAGGAGGGGAAGTCCCTCTATGAAGTGGATTGATTCGGTGACTGGGGTAATCGGGATGGATGTGTCAGAGGCAGTGAGATTGACACCGGATAGAGTAAGGTTTAGGACTTTTGTACATAGGGTCGCTGTGTGTAGCACGTGACTCAACAGCACATAACAACAAGAACAACAGATCCTGAGAACAAACCTTACCCGCTGCTGCCCATCAACATTATCTCCCAACATGTGGCAGTCTGTTGTTCTAGTCACTTTGTCAATCCATCTTATAAAAGTCTCCCTTTCTTTCGTTAACCTTTTACCTTTCCAGTATGGTATGTTTTCCCAAGGACTGGCCCTTCCTGACAACATGCCCAAAGTGAGTGAGATAAAGTTTCACCATCCTGCCTCTTAGGAGCATCCTGGTTGTACTTCTTCCGAGACAGATTTGTTTGTTCTCTTGGCAGCCCGTGGGACACTCGGTACTCTTCTCCACCACCATATTTCAGAGGCATTGATCTTGCACTTCGTCAAAGATAGATTTGGTTTTTTTGACAGTCTGGGATATCCAATATACTCTTCTCCACTGCTACAATGCAAAGCTATTGATATCTTTTGAATTTTCTTATTCATTGTCCAAATTTCATATGCATAGGAAGCAAATGAAAATACATGATATCCTTGCTCTTTAGCACTTTGGAGAGACCCTTGACAGCAGATTTTCCCAATGCAATGTGTCTTTTTGATTTTTTTGGACTGCTACTACTACCCATGGGTGTTGATTGTGGTTTCAAGTAAAATGAAGAGGTAGTAGCAAACTTAAAATTTGTTAAAATCCCTAGAGAAGTTAGATATACTCTTTGTTGCAGTAGTATAAAAGGAGAGTGATTTTCTGGGAGTCTTTTATGCTTTTGACAAGAAAAAATTTTCTGTCTAGAAAAATTCAGTCTTTATATATAATACCAGTGACTTTAAGACACCCCTTCCTTCCAAACCCTTTTCCCCTAAGTTCCAAGTAAGAACTCCTGGACTTGCTCTAGAGTGAGAGTAGTACTTTTGGTTGGCTATCACATGAACTTTGATAAATGACGATAGTTTCTAGAAAGGCTCAGGCCTTTTTTTTATTTTATTTTTTTTTTTTTTTTTTTTAAGGCTCAGGCCTTTTGTTCATAGGGTCGCTATGAGTCAGGGTCAACTCGACTCGATGGCAATCAACAACAGCAACAACATCACACACTTAGAATCCTTTACTTAGATTTGAGCCACAGTTTTCTTGGACCAGCGGAGGAGAATGAGTATGACATGTTAAGAATAATCAGATAATTAAAAGGACTAAGAGCATTTTGTCTGAGGAAAGGGAGAGCTAATATGTGGTAAGAAGAAAGCAGAAAGGTTTAGAAGAGACTGGTACCAAGGCTATCATTGCTGAAAACAATATCAGAAGACTGTATAATTGCATTTTTTCCTTCCATAAACAGTGTCAGTGAGTGTTTGACATAAGTGTAAGGTACTGGGGGTTAGAATTCTGCCTTCTTCTAGAGTTTATAGTCTGTTAATTTGATAATTAAATGTTTATTACAAAATGAACAGGACATAAGGTTAAATTTGAAGTGTCACAGGAGTAGGTAAGATTATTTCTAGTTGGAATAGTTTAGAGAGGAGTAAGAAAGATTACTTTTAATTAGAGTAGATTTTATCTTTTGTTTGTAGAGACTAGAAAGACATTTGAGCCGAACTTTGAAGTCTTTATAGGATTTAGACATTCAGATGTGATGGAGGATGTAGTGTTATGGAACTGTATGAAAAAAGCCATAGAAATAGGATGCAGCATGTGGTGATGGTGGTGGTTATATGCTGTTGAGTTGAAACTGACTTGTAACTGACCTTTTAGTGGGTTTTCAAGACTGTAAATCACGGTAAAGAGAGGAGGTTGTCCATCTTTCTTTTGTGCAGCAGCTGATGGATTCTAACCACGTGCCTTCAGGTTGGCAGCACAACTCCTTAGGCCACCAGAGTTCCCTGAATGTATGGAGACGTGCAAATACCTAACAGAGTGGTGAAAAGGTTGAATAAAATAATTGAAGTCAGATTGTGGATGACTCCAGTGCTGGGTAAAGGCAGTAGAGCATTTTAGGAGGTTTAACAGGCGAATGAAGTCTTTAGAGGTGCAGTCTTAGAAGAGATCATTTCCATAACTATGTAAGATGGTTTAGAGACAGAAACTGCAAGCAGGAGACCAGCTAGTAGGCTGTTGTAGATATTTTGGCAATAGATGAGGAGGGTTGTGCTGGTGAGTATTAGTTGCTGTTGACTGATAACTCTATCTCATGGTGACCCCACAGAAAACAGAGTCAAATGTTGTCTGGCCCTGTTTGCCACTTATAATTGTCAGTATGCTTAAATCCATTGTTGTGACCATTCTGTATTTTGAGTGTGTTTTAATGGAGAGGTTCATCTTATCAGTGCTATAGCAAATGAAACTTTATTGTATTAAATAAGGTTTTCTTTTTTTTTTTTTTTTAAATAAGGTTTTCATTGACCAATATTTGGGAATAGATCACCAGACCTTGTCCCCTAATCTGTCCTAGTCCAGAAGCTCTACGATGGGTGTAGATTGTGGATCCAAGTATGATCCCTGAGTGATTGCTGGTATTTAAAATCCGATGGTATAGCTTCTAGTTTCATAGCAACACCACTATCCATCTATCACTTTGTCTTAAGATGCTGATAATGTGCTTTCAAGTTGGAAACATCCTATAGATGACCATGCTGGCGGTTTTCAGAGGCAGTAAATTGCACAGGAGAAGATAGCCCATCTTCAGTGACTCTTGCCTTGTGTCAGGCAAGTATGACAGAATGTATCATACTTTAGTGCAGATTATACAGAAAGGAGATTATTTGGAAGATTTCCATCAGTTCCACAAACTGAGGGTTGCTGGAAATCATTAAATCTCTGCTTCCCATCCCCCACTCCTAGTCTCGCAAACACCAAAACCAAACCAAGCCTGAAAGTTGTGCAGACCTCACCTGTTGGCTGTGGAAATTGCTAACTGCCACCATGTCAAGCAACTTTAGGTTCTTTGCTTTCTAAAACCTAATTCATCACGTATTTATTCAAGTGTCTACTTCATGTTTAGCACTGTATCATTGTAGAGATAAGTAGAATTTCTTTGGTGTTAGGCGTTTTTCTTTTTCTTTCAGGTCGTGATATCATTGGGCTGGCAGAAACTGGTTCTGGAAAAACGGGAGCCTTTGCTTTGCCCATCCTGAATGCCCTGCTGGACACACCCCAGCGTTTGTTTGCCCTGGTACTCACCCCTACTCGCGAATTGGCCTTTCAGATCTCAGAGCAATTTGAAGCTCTGGGGTCCTCTATTGGAGTACAGAGTGGTAAGTATATGTTAAGGAATGCAAGAATAGGCTGTAAGGATGGGTTCTTGGAATTCAAGAGCTGATTAGGATTTTAACTTTGAGCATGGTTTTAATTCTGAGGGAAGAACAAATTTTAAGTAGACCTCTATCAAGCATTAGTTTAATAGATGTTCAGTAGGAAGAAAAATATTAAAGATTTTTTAATATCGTTATTTTTGTAGCTGTGATTGTAGGTGGAATTGATTCAATGTCTCAGTCTCTGGCCTTGGCGAAAAAACCACATATTGTGATAGGTGAGTAACTTGCAAAGTTGAAATACATGTCAGTGATGGGAAAATCAGTGTGGGCAGTAACTTATCTACATGGAAAGACTGAAGGAACAGCTTTTGAGAACTGCTACATCTTGAGAATTTTTAATGGCATAGGTAATTTCCTTTTGCTTTTGTTCATAAACATTGTCTGCTCTTCCAAATTTCTTTTGGTAGCAACACCAGGTCGGCTGATCGATCATTTGGAAAATACAAAAGGTTTCAACTTAAGAGCTCTCAAATACTTGGTTATGGATGAAGCAGACCGAATATTGAATATGGATTTTGAGACAGAGGTGCGCTCTTACACTCTTTTTATTCTTCAGAAGTCAAAGTCATAACCTTAGAGTCAGAACTGACCCTCCAGTGAGTTTCCAAGGCTGTAAATTGCATGGGAGTAGATGGCCTGTCTTTTCACCTTAGAGCCATTGATGGGTTTGAACCACCAGGGAGGTGCACCCTTTGGCTTAGTGGTGCAACTCCCCTTGGACTACACCATCAGAGCGTCACAGTGTCCTGCTTCAACATCTGGTGCATTGTACACTTCTGATACAGAGAGCTGATATATTGCTGCTTTTTCTTGATGTGTTTCATGTTATCAGTCCTTCTGTACAATATATTCCTACAAAATATCTATACTTTATAGATGAAAAATAGAAAAATCAGATTTTCTTTTTCCATTTAATTTGATTTATACCACTTTGATGTATCTTGAAATACTTTTTCTGTGGTTACCTATTTATCATTGTCGATTATTTGGTTGTGTAATACTTGGTTTTTTGGTCTTATATTTAAAAATAGCATCTGTATGATATTTAGTAAATTTTAGGTTATATGCATTGACTTTTTGAACATCCAGTCCATATTTTATAGGTAGAGTTTACTGTTACCTTTTTCACTGTCAAAAAGAATTTACTATCTAGAGGAGCTCCAAGTATCTAGTTTAAATGCTTATTCTTTACTTTTTGTTACTTAGGTTGATAAGATCCTCAAAGTGATTCCTCGAGATCGGAAAACATTTCTCTTCTCTGCTACCATGACCAAGAAGGTGAAATTGTTAAGATTTTTGTTTTTTCTTTCATAAAAAGTGATAAAAAATAACAACTAACAACAATGAAACTAGAAAGCATTTAGGTATCAGTGTATCATTCTGGGTTTTCTTTCTTCAGGTGCAAAAACTTCAGCGAGCAGCTCTGAAGAATCCTGTGAAATGTGCAGTTTCCTCCAAATACCAGACGGTTGAAAAATTGCAGCAATATTATCTTTTTATTCCCTCTAAATTCAAGGTAAAGTATTTACTTTGATCATTCCTACTTTTCTCCTTCTCTTTCAAGAAGGCATCTGAAATGTGTCACCTCTTGGTTAGCTGTGAGCTGTGGTTCAGACTGGAGTCATGTCTGTTTTAGAGTGCATGTTGTTCTTAACGCATATCACTGACTGATTAAACCAAACATTCTGAGAATTCACAAAATACAGAACCACAGTAGTGAAGTCCTGAGGTAACCATGTCGTTCTTCCTCATCCCCATCCTTGAGGTCATTTTTCTCATTTGCTTATTGCATGGCCTACAGTTGTCTACTAGGGAGGCGACCCTGGTTTTGTGCTTTGATGGACGCATTTCCTGATGGCTGAGTACACATCTTATGCTTGGCATCAGGCCATATGTGGAGTGCTGGTTCACAGAGCTGCTTAAGAAATGCAGAGTTAATGCTGAGGAGTTGTAGGTTTTTATCTTTTAACTAGTTCATTTACCTAGATCTCCTGTCTTTCAGATTGTTACATATGTTGTTTTGATTTCTAATTTAGGATACTTACCTGGTTTATATTCTAAATGAATTGGCTGGAAACTCCTTTATGATATTCTGTAGCACTTGTAACAATACTCAGAGAACAGCTTTGCTACTCCGCAATCTTGGATTCACTGCCATTCCTCTCCATGGACAGATGAGTCAGGTAAGGAATTCTTGGCCTCATTAGAGCCAGGTAAGGATTCTTTGGATGGTGGCATAAGGGAAACCTTAGAGCAGTATATTTGCATATTACAGACACAGTATTAATTCCTGTTTCCATAATTGTTTTAATTTTGTGGTGAGTATTGCTCTGGATAAAGGAGTGCTTACCTTCTTTCAGAATAGCAAGAAATGAAAAGATTCCAAAGGTACTTTGGAGTTACCAAGTTGCTTTATTCAGCCCTAGTAATAGTTATTGACTTGTCTAAAGAATTTAATACGTTATTTCCCATTCATTTTTCTAGTATTTTAATAAACAATCTATTTTACATTGCTACTTTGTAGTAATAGTGTTAAATATTTTTTTGCTGTTTCTGCTTTGACCTGGGTACCCCCGATCTGGACTTAGTAGGGAGAAGAAAATCCATTAACAATTTTTGCTTCTTTGTTCTTCTATTACTTGTCTGTTTTGAATGACATGATTTTAGATTCCAAGATTCCTTAGTATTTCAGGATTAGAATTCTTCTCATTTCTTCTTTTTTTTTAATCATGATAATTTTTTCTTTTTCATCATCGCAGACCAAGCGACTAGGATCCCTTAATAAATTCAAGGCAAAAGCTCGTTCCATTCTTCTAGCAACTGACGTTGCAAGCCGAGGTTTAGATATTCCTCATGTGGATGTAGTAGTCAACTTTGACATTCCTACCCATTCCAAGGTGAGTGCTGCTGCTGGCATCTTAGGGACAGCAACAGAGTTGGGTTTTTACCCCTTTGATTAGTTAAATGTCAAACAATGAGCTAGCTTTTAAATATTCTTATCATCTTACCCATTTCTCATTTAAACTAACATTAAATGTGAATGAAGGTTGCTGAGAAGAATTACATGTTCATAGTCAGAAGGGGCAGATGCATCATCTGGTAAATCTTGTTTGTCAGCTCTGACACTTGATATTTTGGGCTGGATAATTTTTTGTTGTGGGAGCTGTCCTGTACTAGAATGTTTGGTACAAGCTCTGGCCTCTCGCCACTATATGCCGCTTTCCCCCTCCCTCACCCGTTTTTTTTTTTGTTACTCATACTTTGGCCATCATGTTAGGAAAGGCTATTCCTTGGAAAGGTAGGTCATATTTGGAAAGGTGGAGGGTCAGCCAAAGAGAAGAAGACCCTCAACCAGGGGAAATTGACACAGGAACTACAGTAATGGGCTAAAGTGTGTCGGAGATGATGAGGATGTTACAGGATAGGACAGGGCTCAGATCTGTTGTTGATAGGGATGCTATGAGTTGTACTTGACTTTATGGTTCCTGACAACAACCGCCACCATCATCCCAGTTTAGACAACAGGAAATATCGCCAGATGTTGCCCCCTTCTTGTTTTTAGTTGCAGTTGAATTGATTCTGGATTGGTCTTAGTTGAGAGCAAGTGGTATACTTCTTGGCTTTGTGTTTAACTTCTATAGACAAGGTATCATTCTTTTGATTGATTTTTATAATAGCAGTGTGACTTTGGCATGCATTTCTGCCCTTGTTTTTAGTGAGATACCAAGGTTCAGAGAGCTATGTAACATGAAGATGCTTAAACTGAAGTATCCCCCAGGTCTGCTTTTAGATTTAGTGCTCTTTTTTCTCTATACATATTAATTAGTTCTAATCACATAGTTATACTTTAGAAATTTGCCTTTACAAAGGGTCAGTTTTGGAAGAATAAGAGAAAGAGATTCAACTCAATGGATTGTTCACTTCACCCCCACCCCATTCTAGCGTGAATCCATTTGTTTCAAAGATTTGCAGTACATAGGTGTTTTTTTAAATGTTTATTCTGCATGACTACATACATGTCCTTTCTGTTTTAGGATTACATCCATCGAGTAGGTAGAACGGCTCGAGCTGGGCGCTCTGGAAAGTCAATTACCTTTGTCACACAGTAAGTCAGTCAACTGTAGGAGCAAAGTGTTGCAGAAAAAAGAGCAAAACTTTGGAGCCAGACTGACATGGAACCTATTCTAGAATTTACCATGCTATTCCCTTAACCTCTTTGATCCCTGTTTTTATAATTTTAAAAATAGAAATAATGATACATACCTAGCAGAATTTTGTTTATGATTGGAGATAAGTGAAAGGTTTAAAATAGTATTTGGCATATTGAAGTTATTACCTATAGTCAGAGCAGTTAGCTTTCCTTAACATGAGAAGTTTTAGAATGATGATTTAGGTATTTTTTAAAAAAATTTAATACAGACAAGGATTTTCTGTGAGTAAAGACTATGTTGAGCAGCAATCCCAAAGGTGCATGGTTCGAATCCACCAGATGCTCCTCTGGAAGACGGAGGAGCACTCTCCTCCTGTGCTAGTCGGATCTGATTTGGCACACAACAACACAACAACAACCAAACAAAGAATATGTTGAGTGACTTTTGTAATGGGAAGGTAGGGCCAGGGTGGTTTAAAATTGTGATTCATTCAGTGTCACATCGTAGTTTGGGAGTGGGCGGGTGTTAGCTGCTGTCAATCACCTCAAGCTGTGGGTCATTTGCCTTCATCAGGTATGATGTAGAACTCTTCCAGCGCATAGAACACTTAATTGGGAAGAAACTGCCTGTCTTTCCAACACAAGATGAAGAGGTTATGATGCTGACAGAACGTGTGACTGAAGCACAAAGATTTGCCCGAATGGTATGCAAGTTAATTGCTGTCTTACCACTTCTGCAAAGAATATGGACTATGTGCCAGATACATTATCATAATAATCCTTATAATAAACTGTAGCAGTATACATTTTATAATTTCCCCCTCAATTTCTTGTGGCTTAAACCAAATATAGTGTTGAGCATATGGGAAGGGCAGTGCAGTGGTTAGTTTCTAAGTTGGTTTGAGCCCACCAGCTGCTCTGATGACACATCTATCTGCTTCTGCTTCTGTAGTCTGCTTCTGCAATATTTACAATGTTAGAAATACTATGGTGCAGTTAATTCTCTGTTCTGTGGGGTCACTAAGAGTCAGAATCTACTTGACAGCAGTGGGCTTGATCTTACTGAGTGTTGAGCAGTCTAGTAGTATAGTTCTGCATACTTGTCTTGTGTCCTCGGACGAATTCCACGAAGTAGAATATTTGAGCCAAAGAATTTGTTGTTAGGTGCTGTCAAGCTCATTCCAGCTCATAGCAAGTCCACGGCCAGGGTAGAACTGTCTTGTAGGGCTGTGAGTAAAAAATTGACTCTGTAGCATCTAACAGCAAGAATCTTTGTGGACTCAGATTACCAGATCTTTGCCCTGTGTAGCTGTTGGGAGAGTTTGAACTGCCAGTATGTCAGCTAGCAGCTAGATCCTTGACAGTTCTTGCCAGGGCTCTTTGGGCCAAGGAGTGTTCACAGTTAAAATTAGAATTTGGAAAAAAAAAAAAAGAATTTGTGGAAAAATAGCCAATTAAACCCTCCCTGTCCCAAAGGGTTGTAGTAATTTATGCTGTCAGTGACAGTGTATGTGAGTTTCTTCTTACCTTGGGTAAACTCAGTATTAACCTTCTTTTTAATTTTGGCTAATTTGTCAATGGAAAATGTTTGCTTATTTTCATTCTCATGTCTTTTATTACAAATAAGGTTAACATTTTTTGTACATTGGGAGTTAGGCCTTATTCCTTTGCCAGTGGCAATTACAGAATTGCTCTGTGTTCTTGAGGAAAAGACTGGAACGAGTCACCTTCAGTAACATTAATTCATTTTGATCCCATCCTTCTGTTTTCTTTCAGGAGTTACGAGAACATGGAGAAAAGAAGAAACGCTCACGGGAAGATACTGGGGACAATGACGACACAGAAGGTGCTATTGGTGTCAGAAACAAAGTAGCTGGAGGGAAGATGAAGAAGCGGAGGGGCCGCTAGTCACTTTAATGGAGACTCGTGTCTTACTTTCTTGTCTGGAAAAGGAAATTGAAGACAAGCAGGAAACCTCCTCGAGCACAGTTCCTCAGACTGCAGTCTGTCAGGATTATGCCCGAATCTGTCTGCTCAGATAACTCAGTACTCATCTGCCTTCTGTCTGTGTGGAGTATCATTGTTGAAGAACGATTTTTACAACGGCTCATGTCTGAACTTTTGCTGTTCTTCGACCTTAGTTCCCAATCATGACCTGAGATGGAGTGCTCTTATATTTGTGCTTTATACATTTGGCCATTTTAAATTGCATATCATGGACTAGGCTGGTGAAGCAAATAACTAAAAAAATGCTTCTGAGTCTATAGCCTTGATGGTATCTTGGGTTCATCTCTAAACCAGTAATATTTAAGTCTTCTCAGCTGTGCTTCATTTGAGGTAATGTGAAAGAATAAATTGATCGATTTTTAAAAGATAAAACTTCTTGATGTTGATATTAGAGGGTTTATACATTTATATTAAAAACCTGCTACTAGGTAAGGAACTAATAGTAGCAATTACATAGTAAATGAATTTATTATCTTTAATTAAACACTATTTGATTAAAAAATCAATGAAGTTGTGGTTAAAAGTTTTGTTTTTCTTAGAGTTGGAGCAAAGTTTATCTTGAAGAAGTCTTTATTAATTTACAGGGTTTTAGTAAACCCTAACTTCGTTAGCCCTTCTGACATCCATTGTGTTCTCCATCTTTTTTTTCTTTTTTTCTTTCTCCATCTTAGTGATGACCTTTTGCTCTCTTCATGGATGATATCTTTGATGTTGTCACAGAACTTGTCTGGTCTTCCATCATTAGTGTCCAGTGCCTCTAATGTAGTTAGGAGATGATTTTTAAATTCAGGTGAGACAGACTCAAAGTCCTGTTTTGGTTTTTGTAGACTAATTTTCATTTTCTTGAGCTTCAATTTGATCTTGCACATGAGCTGTGCAAGATGGTCTGTTACACAGTCAGTACCTGACCTGGTTTTGACTACTGAGCTTCTCCAACAATTCCTTTCACAGTCAATCTCATACCTCTGCAGTCAGTCAAGTGACGTCTATGTGTAAAATCACCTTTTGTGGTTCCCCCCACCTTGTTGTGTACCATTAAGTTGGATCTGACTGGTGCAGGAGGAGATTTCCCCCTCTTTTAGCAGAGAAGCTGGTGGATTTGAACCTTGTGCCTTCAGGATTGTAGCACAGCTTCTTGCCACTAGCCACCAGAGCTCTTTGTGGTTTGTTTTTATTTTTAAGTTCTTTATTTGCAGTGTATAAACCATTGAATGTACAAAATTGAATCATTTATTGTCGAGCCTCATTTTTGTCACCAAGACTGACTACCCTTCTGGTAACCAATAATTATTAATGCATCTTAATTGTGTGGTGGGTCAGTTTTGGACTGCAAAAGTTGGTTGACATCTTCAGTTTTCTCCTTTCTGACTTTAAGGCATTGGTGTATATTTTAAAATGATAATCCTGTTAACATAGGCCTTCATTGTATGCATGTGGATAATATCCTATCATTCACTACATTATACTTTAGGATGTTGTTATGTGCCCTCTAGTGTACTGTGACTCATAGTGTCCTTAGCTAATCTCAGTGTCTCCTACACACCTGCCCCGATTACCCCAGTCACTGTATCAAGCTGTCTTTTTGTTTTTGTTTTTTTTTAAGTAAGATGTTAACTTTATTTCCCCTCACTGGTCTTTATTATTATTATTTTTTAAAATAATTTTAATGAACATTTACAGAGATTTTGGATTTCCATTCATTCATTGCTGTACTTCTCTCCCCGCCCAGCCTCC